ATAGCCTAAAGGCAGCTGCAGCGGTGCATGAAAAATAGCGGGTGGCCTTTCAATAAGTGTCACGTACCTTCTTGCAAAAGTATGCAGGCCAGGGAAGGCTGAAATTTTTGCAGTCCCTCGACAAGGGTTCGGAAGGCTTTGGCACCTCGTTTCGTCAGTGTAGTCAGCAAAGCCTCATTGATATCCGTGCGTGTTTTCGTCGAACGTATCTTTTCCCCGTGGTTTTCATCGATAATGTCCATTTGGTCCAAATGAAGCATCAGCTTTTCCGGCTCCAAATCTTTCACTAGTGTCGAAGTGTGCTTGCGTAGAATATCTTGGTACACTTCTGGAAAGGGTAAAAAAACAGCAACTTAAAAAATGCGCATAGATTCTGAAACTAACGTCGACTTGACCTGGGTCAGAAATGAACGATGGGGCTTAGGATATGATGCCGCAGTCTCTCCAATAAACCAAACTGGAGAGGTGGAAGAACTGATTGATGCTAAGAATGACCCACCAGACGTATCTGGATAGAAAGATAGGTAGACAATTATGAGTCCGAACAAACAGAGTTATAACAGATACATATACATTCAGTGATGGAAGCAAGGTTCAAACGTAAGCAAACCAGCCTGAAGTAACCCACAAACTAGACGCAATTGTACCCCGTGGCTTAAACCCCCCCCCCCTTCCCCCCACTTCTTTTCTAATGGTATTCAAAAAAACTTTTACAGTTCCGTTGTAATTCTGAATAACTGAAAGAATGAAAAATGATCTAAGTATAGTTAATTCAATCTCTTCACCGTATTGTATTGCTGAGAAAAAAACCACGCAAAGAAGTAGGAGCATATCCAAGAATCTTTCTTACCACTTTCTAATGACACAGAATGTCTTTTCTTTTGATAATGGAACTTCCTCTGCTCTTGTTGCAAGGCCTCACACATACCCAAAAGAGTTTCCCTTTCCTTTTCAGAAGACAACAATTTGATCGTTAGCTCCTCCACCTGCCTTTTCAGATTAGCAAGCTCTTTCACTTGCAGTTCGGTGTCTAACTCCTTGTCCACTCGTTCAGAATATGTTCCCTTCCTTGGCAACTGGCTTTTACTCTCTGTGGACGGTCTTTGTCCCTCTTCTCCCTTATTCGAAAGTATTTGTCTTTTTGCTGAAAAAAGCCCAAAACAAATTAACGCTTATAGTTTTCCCCTCACTGGTTCTTAGTTTAAATCATGAATCCTTTTTCATGCTTGACTAAACGATGAATATATACGTAAGATACGTTTTTAGATATTTTTAGCATATTATCAAGTATGATTGGAATTAATTAGTTATTTTTAATAGAGATTTTTTTCTGTAAGATTGTAATGCACATATGTTAAGTTTCTTAGAATAGTCCAGTTTCAAATTCGTCGCGGCCGCTGAAAAGAAGCACTAAAGCCTCATGTATACAGTGTTAGCCTCGATCAACAGTAAAATAATGACAAATCCCCGCCGAGAAGGTGCCTGAATTTGAGTTTAAAACAACAGACACAGTTGTACACCGAGGTCTTCTCCTGACTGGAATTTATGAATATATTTACCCTGGAAAGCGTAAAAACTAGATCTTAAGTAAAAGTTCCTATAATCATGTAATTCAGTGCTACTGGCATTACAGCCGACTAGGTCTTTTATCAACGGTAACTGAACTGCTCTCTCGGAGTAGAGTGTAATTGGAAGCTCGTTAACTTTACTCAACAGTGGCTTTGACCATGCAGACTGAGTTAAAATGGCTGATAGTCAGGTTTAGAAAAAATAAAACTAGGGGGAAGAAAACTCCCCTGTGTAACCCAGTGGAATCTAGATCTTCACTGAGTTTTAGGAGAAAACTTCACCGGGTTATTAGCTTATTTTCTACTGTTTTTTTTTTCTTAGTTGTTAATGTTTATCTGCCATAAACGCTAAAAACGGTAGCAAGGCCATGAGGCCTAACCTAATATCTTCACCGCTATGAAACCTTTGAAAACCTTTTACATACTGCTCTTGCGAGAAGAACTAAAAGATGTACCCTTTTTCATTTTATCTGAGATCGATTACCTGTACCCTACGATATATAATTTCTATGTCAATGGCAATAATGTTTTATATTTTTGCTTCTTTTAAACATAATGAATAACGAAATAAACGCAGTGGTTTCGTAGAATTCACAATAGACTAAAGTAACCGGGAAAGTAAAAAATAAGCTTGGTAGAAACAACCTAGTCGCCAGGTATCGGAGAGGTTAATACTGATGTTACGGAGGGGTGTAAGAAACGACTGATTTATCAAATGATAAGATTATATTGCAACAACACCTTACAGATTGTCTGGCGACTTCTTCCGCTGTTTCAAATGCGGCAAATTTGGACACTGGGCCAAGGACTGTAGATCCATGTTCTGGCCAGGAAGCTACCAGTCCCATAGCTACGATATTTGCCCTAGAATCTCCTACAACAAGCCAACCACAGGTCAATCAACTCAACCAAAGCAATGAAGATAACTTGGCGCAGAAAGATAAAATTACGTACAGAATTACGAAATTGAAAGCGGACAATCATCAGGTGTTAAGGGTAATTTGAAGAATAATTTAGGTTTCTGAACATCTATAGTTGTTCCGGTTTTTATTTTGTCAATTAGTGAAAACGGCTACAGGCTGCCCTTCATCAGTTTTCCGCTGGCTGTAAAGCTACGATATAATAAGTCAGCTCAACTTCATGCTGATTTTGTGGACCAAGCTGTTCTTGAGCTTGTTAACTCTGGTCGGGTGCGTAAAGCTAAAGAGCAGCCTTTTTTTTTGTAAACCCCTTGTCAGTTTCTATACAGCCATGGAGTAAGAAGAGGTTAATTCTTGCTTTACGCGATGTCAATAAGTCTTTAATCAAGTGTTAAGTAGGAGGGCTGAAAAACTGCTATGGCTTATTTTGCGAAAGACGCGTACATGTTTTCTTTTCTATTTAAAACGCGGTTATCACAATATCGATATTGCACAAGAGCACCAACCTTTTCTGGGGTTTTTATGGCGAGCGCCTGATTCATCAAAAAAGTATTTTAAGTTTAATTTTCACTGTGCCCCCCCCTCGGTCTTTTTTCTGTCCCTTATGTTTTTCACGAAGGTTTTGATTAAGCCTTTAGAAAAGTATTGGAGAATACAGGGTCTTTGTATAGCCATCTTCTTTGGACGATGATTGGGCGATTGTTCAGGGTAGAGAAAGTTGTCGCATTAAGGCCAAAGCTGTAAGTGCGGATTTGTATAACGCGGGTTTTGTTATAAACAAAGAGAAATCGGTATGGGAACCCACCCAATTATTGCACTGGTTAGGTATAACCTGGAATTCTGCACTAGGTACTTTAGAAATTGTAGAAAGAAGAATTGTTAAGATTACCAATACAATTGATCATATTATTGTAGCCGATCTGAAAGTGTCTGCGAGAGTGTTGGCCTCCTTTACGGATCAAATTATTTCTACGGGGCCTGTAGTTGGTAACTTTGGTAGGATAATGACCAGACATTGTGCCTTGTCTACCTTGTGCAAAGACAACTGGGATTCTGTATTCCGTCTTGACGATTACTGCAAGGAAGAACTGTGTTTTTGGAAGGACAATATGGTTAATATCAACACTAGGTATATTATTTTGTAAGTAAAGATCCTAGTCATTTTGTGCATTTAGATGCCAGTGCTACCGGGGTGGAGCAATTATTGACTTTAACAATGATTTTGTGTCACAAAATGTGGACGGAGAACTAGAGCGTTCAAAGTTCAACGTTTAGGGAGTTGTCTGTTATTGAGTTTTCATTGCAATCATTTGCCTCAGTGCTTGAAGGATCACAAGTTTTAAAAGTGGTTTACTGATAGCCAAGCAGCTGCTAAGATTGTTGAAGTGGGCAGCATGAAATTAGGTTTGCATAAGATGGCCGGAGCAGGGGCGTAGAGTGGCCATTTTGACAAGTACGCACACGGGTCCATATGGTTTTAAAAACTTCGTGCAAAATAACGTTTTTGCTTTCCTTTAATCCATAACTGCCAGTTTACAGGCTTATTTACAATAAAACGTGATTTCAAACAAAAAAGCTTTTTTGAGAACGTTCTTCTTTGAGCTGGTACAGGAATATTTAACATCACAAGGCGAGGCGCAGTTTTTGTAAAAATTTGTCTCTGAAAAAAAAATACTACATCGGTTCGCTAGGAGTAAATTTCTTGCAAAATTCTTGATGATACCGCGCCAAACGTGCACCTGCTTACGTGGATTATCGTCGGCTTGGTTTGGTCCATGTCTTTCCAGCTGAGCGACATTAAAGTAGTCTTTAATAGACTTTTTCGACATTCATGGAGAGAGAAAAAAAAATAAAAAAATGAAAAAGATAAATCTTAAAAGGAATGATAATCATTTAGGGTCGATTTTCAGTTTCCGATTTTCATGAACACGCAATGTATTGTGGGATCGTCTGAAGGCAAAATTTATTCAAGAATGTTTCGAATTTATTACATTTCACTACTCAAACTGTTGTGTTTTACGTGTATTAAATAGCAGAGAGACAGACAGGAAAAAATCTACAAAGTCAAGTCACGTCGACACTCAGAAAACCTTTAAAAAAAATCTTACCAATTTCTCAAGTACGCACATGCGTATTTGCGTAAAGGACGCTACGCCAGTGCGGAGGGATTTTTAATATTTGTATTCGATCTAGGATTCATTTAGAAGTGCAATGGATCCCTCGCACTTCGAATCAGCAAGCTTATGTAAGTCGTTTAATTGACACCGATGATTGGCAAATTACTGAAGAAAATTTTCTTTTTCTTGATGGCCGGTGGAAGCCCATAGTGTTGATTGTTTTGCCAATTATTATAATCACAAGTTTGGAACCCCAATACTTCGGATCAGGCGGTGTTGGACACGGTCCGAGGGGCATCATGGGGAAAAAATCAAAAACGGCTCATTTGCATCTGACCTTCGCTTTGTTCACATCTCTCGTTACGCCATAAAAATACCGGCAGAAATAGTGTGATATGGGCATTACAGGTCTTCTTCCGCTTTTAAAGGACATAACATGCGATGTTCATTTGAGATCTTTCTCCGGAAAGGTGGCCGCAGTCGACGTTTACTGCTGGCTTCACAAAACTGTTATTTTCCGTGTCGAAGAGATTAATTTTGGGATCGAAGCAACGCGGTACGTATCAACACTTCGTTCAGATTTTTTTTTTCAGGTACATTGACATGTGCATGAAGGTTACTGATCTTCTCATCGAAAATAATGTGCAACCTATTCTGGTTTTCCAGAAGAAGCTGGAGGGCAAGGCAAATGTGGAATCCTCCTCCGCTAACTTGTTGTTGTTGAGGACAACAGCAAGTTAGCGGAGGTTTTCTAGTCATTTTTTTCCGTATGAATTCAGCTTTATCTGTTCGTTATTTTTTGTATGATTTATTAGCAATCATGAAGAATCTCACACAGAAGGTTTAACTCTTTGCGGACAAGGGCAGAAGGAAGAAGCTAAGAAACTATTCAAAAAGGAGGGCCTAAGGGCCGCTTCGATGACATATATATTACAAAAAAATATCATTTTTTTAAAGACGACTAAAAAGGAAATGAAAGAAAGTATTCTGAGCTGATCGTGAAGTGCAAGTATTCTAAGCTGGTTCGATCGTGACCGCGCGAGTATATTTATAATACTAAAGATGCCGCGGAATGGAGTCACGATTCACGCACGTAGGTAAACTTCAAGTGGCATTTTGACCCGTAAAACGGCGGGGCCCGCTGGGGCCCGCCGACCATTTCAGATTCTTGAACAACAAAACTAATAGATTATGCTAAAAAGGGAGGTCAGGGGTCGTTGAACACAGAGAAGATATAGACTGAAAAGCATAAACAATAGCTCTTAACTAAACAAAGGGATTATGCGCATAAAGAATTACAACGAACAATAGGGACCTTAAGCAAGGACGACGACGACGGCACTGAAAATGTCGGTAAAAAAAATGAATTTGCGTTCCTTCAAACTTAATCGCGTCTATTTGGACCCGCTCAATATGTCAACTGTAGGCGACTTTCCTGGAGTTGAATTCTTAAGGATTTTATTCAAGTTCAAAAAGAGGAAGGAAAATTCGTCGTCGTATGTCCACTTCCTCCATAAAACGTCAAATTAGAAGGTTTTACGTCGTAGTCGTGCAGTGCACGTCAAAGAAATGCACTACAAAGCGTGATGCACGTGCAGAGCTGTAGTTTTGATCATTAAACCTATATTGTTTTTTTGAAGTCGTCGTTGTGGTCGTCGTCGTAGTTGCTTAAGGTCCCTAATATCAATAGAAAACAAACATACATCATATTGTTTTAAGAACTGCGGCTTGCTACATCTGTCTACTCAAACTTTTCCAAAAAAAATTATCGTAAATCACTTGATAAACGGCGAAAATCGAAGAAAATCGAAGGCACTACTCGCACAAAGGTGAAAGAATCAGTCCGCCATGTGCAATGACGTGATTGGACAAAATTGGTCACGTGGATCGTGTCCAACACCGCCGCTGACTTCGGATGTTGATTTTTTCTTTCAGTTTCTTCGAGGATAAAATTGCCTAGTAGTTCCTCCAGTTGGTATCGTCCCACGCGTATTGCGTTATTTGAAATCTCAGCAGGCCGTTGGTACGCTTGTTGTACCTCTTTGGCCTTCGGCTCATTTCGGGCCATTAATTGGACACAAGTATGGTAACTATCTTGTGGCTCACAGTATTCATATCGGGAAGGAGGTTCTAAACCCCGGAATAAACTCTAATTTGCTCTTAGGGTGTGATCTTTTCACAGGAAATTTTATTGCCTTTAGATTGAAATTTACTGAATAATTTATTGGATGGTGTGTCAATTAGCCTAAACATGAATATTTACATTGGTGGCGCTGGCCAAAACAATATATTTGCCCCAATGTATGTGGCACTGGCCCAATGGTCTATCATTTATTGTGGCGCTTGCTTAAACATAGTATTGGTGATTTATGTGGCACTGGCCCAATCAATGTTTTTTTTTTAGTTATGGGGCACTGGCCCAAACAATGGTCTATCGTCTTATGTGGCACAGGCCCCAACGATGATCAATTTTTGTACGGTTATGAGCGGATGCTCTTTTCGTTCTTTTAGAGTATATGTTTTGTTCTTGTCTTTCCAGGTAACCTTATCAAGCAAGTCTTGGGAAGGCTTTCAACAATTTTCTTCGGTCAACGTTTATCAGGTTTCAGAAGTTATGTTGAAGTCCAGGGCGGATGCAACCACTAAAGGCTAGGCGTTCGCGTTATTAGAAAGTTCTAGGAGTGGTGTAAAAGTTGACATTTCAACATGCAGCTATCTTTTCTTTTTAGTGTTGTTTCTCTATATTTATTTGAAGTTCAGCAGTCTTGAACCTCTAGTTTCTCAGTAATTTTGGCCCAATGCTGCCATTAAATGGCTACATTCTTTTGTCCCTAGTTTGGATTTAATCCTTTGGATAGTGACTTTTGCAGGATATTATCGAATCTGATAATCGCCAAAAATCAGAGCCCGTTTTGAAAAAGAAGCTTTTTACCACAGACATCGTAAGGAGTATTTTAGATATTCATAACAAGAAAGACGCTAATTTTAAAGAATCTTCGTACCGCTGCGTTATGCTCTTTAGCTTTTGCAGGATTTTTTCGTTGTGACGGCGAATTATGCAATATCGTTCCTAAGCATGTTGAATTTCACAGGGATTACTCATATAGGAATCTTTGTACCTCGTAGTAAGACAGATGTTTATAGGGAAGGAAAATACGTCTTTATTAGCGCATTCAGGTCTAAGTACTGTCCTGTTGGTGTCTTACAAAGATATTTAGATCTATCTGGTATTGATTTATGTAGTTCTCTTAGACCGCTCGTTTTTCATCGTTGAAGTTCTAGCTATACCCAGAGAAGTGGAAAGATTTCTTACACTACTTGTAGGGATATTTTAAGGGATATCTTAAGTTAGGTGGGCTACAACCCTAATGATTAATATGGTCTACATAGTTTAAGATCCGGTGGCATTACATCTGCGGTACGTAATAGTAGTAACTCGATTCCACAAAGACTTCTTAAATACATGGTAGATGGGAATCTGATTCTGCCAAGGATATGGGTGTTGAAGAAAGCATTGAAAACAGGTTACAAGTAACCAAGCATTTAGGTTTGTAATGTATTGTCAACGTATATTAATTCCTGCATACTACCATTTAAAAAAAATTGTAAAAAAAAAGCAGCCTGTAATTTTCTGCAGTCCATTCTATATTAGTAGCTATCTATCTTATAATAAACTGCTTTGGATCCGCTTGCGCATCCTACCATATTTCTCGTGTGATTTGTTTCTATTACGGGAGTTTAAGGGTAAAATGATTTACGTTCGTTTGAACGAAGCGAGTTAGAACGTAACCGAGCTTTAATGACAGCAAGCGAGTAGTCAAAAAATACAGAAAATCACCACGCTCACCTGAATTATCCGCAAAGACCTTTTTTCCTTTCTCATATTCCTCCTCAGAAATGAACACTTTCAGCTTCAATTCATCGAGGCCAAGATTTTCCAACACCTCATGTGTCACCAGCGTTTCTTCAACCACTCGATTAAGTTGACCACTGATATAATCTTCCCACAATCCTTCAAGGATCTGTAGTGAGCTACATTTAACAGTTATCGATAAGCTTCCCAGTTCAATGTCTTCAACAAAAGCATTCAGATTATTTCTTAAATATCCAAAAAGTAATCTGAAAGAGTCTTTGAAAGCCATGATAACGTTCCATATGTCTACCTCTGCTGGAATTTCCTGCTGATTGCCTTGCACTTCACCAGGAGCGACCACTAATCCAAACTGAGCGATCCTGTCGATAGTATTCACAAGCTGTAGTGTTGCTGTTGGAAAATCGATACAACAATTGAACACTATTCTCGACTCTTCAATAAGGGCAATTCGAACATATGAATTACTTGCACAACATTAGGGAAACACTTCAAAGATATGGTACAATTTTATCTACAGAATGTTTCGTTATTCTGCCGCACGGTAGCCTCGCCTTGTATTTCGTCCCTCCCCAACGCCTGCTCAACCGAGAACAACATTCCTTTTCCATTGTCTTATTCGCATGGTAACGAATCAACAGTTATGAAATCCTGAAGTGTTGAGAGGCTCAACACGACTCATAAGCTCGTGATAGTGTAAAAACGTGACCCTAGAGTTTCCTTTTTTCTTCTTTTCTTTCCTTCGCTAAGGTTATGCAGTGCGCGCAGTATTCTAAAATCTGACTGAGTAAATCTTACTTTTGCCGCTGTGAGTCTAATATTTATTAGAGGTCATTAAGCTTTCTCAATGTTTCTTGTAGATCGAGTAATTATCAGGTTACCCAGCGGTCATAAAATTCAACACGAATACCTAATTATAGGAAATTAACGCTTGGGTTAATTAAGGTATTTGAAATTAAGGCGACTTAATTAACGCGAGTTAAAGGGGAAAATACTTCCCAATAAAGAAAATTAACGCGAAAGGCGGGGTAAAATTTTAAAAGAAAGAAAATAAACGCGACGAACAAAAAGAAACGAGAGTTGTTTAAACAAAAGGAACAAATTTATTTAAACTTGACCGAAATCCAGGAAGCAGATGTTGAGAGTTATTCTTCTTACAGCGACCATGAAGATGAAATATTGTTACAGTGATCAATTTTTGAAAGATTGATCTGAAATAAAGTGCGCGAAACTAAAGTTATTCAGTTTCCTAGGCCACAAGAATGCCCGGAGTATGTCGAGAATTTGGGGCCAAAATGATAGAAACTAAGGTCGCAAAAATTAACGCTGCACTTCATTAATGGCGGGGAAATTAACGTTAACAAAAATTAACGCAACTTTGTAAATTCACCTTAATTTCATGAAGCGTTAATTTCCTATGGTAAGGTGTAAACGCTTAACCGTAATCCTCGATCCCTGGAGGGATTCTTCTTTGACGCCGCCTTCCGACAAAAGTGTCTGTTCGCAAGCTATTTCAGCTGCGCAGAAACTATTTCCTAATATCATGGCATTGTGGTACGCAATTTAATTTCAACATTTTTTAGATATGGTACAACATTTTTTAGGGCTCAATGGAAAAAATTAATAATTGAACTTTAATATCTAACGTAACCTGCTACCACAAGCAACCGGTACACTGACCTACTTGCTGACCCCTTACGTCATCTTTTATTACTCTGAATTCCTCTTGAATAAGTTCTTGTAGCGCTTTTTCCTTTTGAGTAAGGTCTTGTACCAACTTTTTTAAGTCCAAGTCTTTTTCGTACCATAACGCGAGCTCTTCGGCATATATCTCTTCGGCATATCTTTCCAGTTGCTTCGTTTTTCAGAGCTGAGGCTTGCTGCAATCCTCAACAGCGATTCACTGATTTGCCTCCACAGGTCATCAAACTGATCATCAGGAATTTCCAGATTTTTGGTGTGACCATAAACTTCATTGCGATAAAATTTTATTCTTGCCAGGTCTGCTTCAAGACTGTGGTTTGAGTCGTTTGGCAGGCTGTCCCATCCTGTGAGGGGAGGAGTAAGTGGACATATTGTTCGTAACAATCTGAAGGTTAAACTGATGTCAAAATCACTCGACTTTCCGTATACCCCTGGGGAAGGGTACAAACATTTCCAGTCGGGACCTGTAAGCCTTGCTGCTTTCAGCTGCCTTTCTACCGATGGCTTACTGAGAATTGTGGGAAGGCTGGCAGGACTGTGATAGGAGTCGAATATCTCTCTTAAAAGCACTGCACCGCCGCTCATCAGAAGCCGTGTTAAACGCTGAAAATTGGCCTTTGTCCTCGTTGATCGTAACGTTTCTTCTGCGTCATCAAGGGAAGCCATGAGTACTTACAAGAGAAAGCGAGTTCCAGTTGACCAGAGGTTAAGATATCAAGTGCTGAAACGGAAGAAAGTTGAGACATGTTAAGCACAATGAAAACAGACGCTGTTAATTCTTCGTTTTCACTGTCACGCAATAAACACGGCACAAAAAAATACATTTGAAACCGTCCAGTGGAAGAAGCCAAGAAAATGAAATGTTATAAAAGACTAATATATAAACCATTTGCCCAAATCTCAGGTCTTTGTGGCCCACAGTTTCTGAGTAAGTTGCCGAAACATTTCACGCACCTTTGTAGAGCTTTGTATGGAGACGCCATATTGGTGGACAGAAACTGTCCACCAATATGGCCGCCGGAAATCAACAAAAACATCTGGAGTTCACTTTTTCTATAAAAGCGCCTCCTTTTCACTCGAAAACTAGCATACTTGCGCATAAACATATCTTCTAATACTTGAAATGGTTAAACTGCTGAAAATCAAGCGGAGAGACTTTTTTCAAGGAGATAGCATTCCTATTTTGGTGTCACGCACTGTGAAAACTCGGAAGTTCAAACTGCTGTATTTTCGAAATGAAACACGCTTCGGGGCTGGAAACTTGTACAAAGATTTATTTCCTATTAATCTTCAACCTAGTGTAAATAAGAATTCGTAAAACGTCGCTTTTTTGACTTTGCAATCTGATGACGTCACCGTGAAAACCATCAATTGAGTGATGGTGTGATGCCTTTCAGGACCCAAAACATGCGTGCACTTCTACGGTCGAATCTCTATGTGCGACCACCTATCGTAAGCCACCACCTTCCATAAGCGACCAATTATCCAAAACATCAAAACTTTCCCAGTCAAAGCTTTACAATTCAATGGAACCCCTAGTAAACGACCACCTCTTGTAAGCGACCGTGACCACTTTTTGGACATGAAAATTCAATGATTTTTCATTGTTTTTAACCTCTTATAAGCGACCGCTTGACGCACTCTCTGATCTCTATGTTCGCTGTGTGCATTGTGCTACCAAGAATATACGAACAACCTCTTTAGAAACAACATGGACCTACACGTGGCAAAGCTTTGAAATTGTATGCGACTGTGAATTATCTTCCATAAAGTAGATGTGCCCGCCGAAACCTCTTGACCTCTTCTTGCAAGATTCCCGGCCTGTGGTTCTATTCTTGCAAGCGACCACCTCCCGAGCGACCCCTTAGTCTTCGCATTTTGGGTGGTCGCCTTCGGGAGGTTCGACTGTACAATTCTGGGGAAACGTCATTGGGACAGTGATACAGTGTTCGTATTCTTACAAAACAATGTGACCTTATCCGTTCTCCCGTCCCGTCTCCTCCCCTCACCCTATACAATGTTGAAACTCGGGAAAAATTCTGGATACATGCGTCCAAACTTGTTTATGGGGCTGGTGGGGGGGGGGGGGAGATGGGTATGCGCTTTCTAAGGTCCTTAGTTCTGGATTTCGCTCAAACTTCTGCATTGTTTGTCGGACGGGATGTCTGCAGGATGAGGGTTAATTGACCTCACTCAGTTTCAGTGAGTTCAATTGCTCCAATAGAACAGTGAAAAACTTTTGCTCTACTAGCATCATATATCATGATTTCCTGTAGACTTCAAATGGAGTCTGTCATCGTCCTTTGTCATTAGCTGTTGTTTTTACCTGTTTATCAGATTAGGTTTAGTGTTAATTCAATTCTAGGGATGCTAGGCTCCATTGACTTTCTCAAAAAGCCGGAAGTTTAATTTTGATCGAAGAAAGATTTATAACCAGCAGTTAATCGCAGAAGACTTTAAAAAAAAAACTATGTCCCGGAATTTATCAAAATTTAAACAGTAAAAAATACACCAAATTGGATGAAACAAACAAAATCTTTACAAATGTTAAAAGAAGGTATATCACAGGAAGTGCTTTAGGAGGTATGGATCGACAAACTTGAAGAAGATTGAAACGGATTGCAATTGTCTGGTTATGGAAACTCGTTGGCCTAACAGTTTTTCAAAGTTCGTTTTGTTGTTTGTCCGTAACGTTTGATATATGCCGGGAGACACATTTGTTTGATACCTATCAGGCTGTGTTGTCATTAACCAATAATTTCTGAAGTTCTTATTATACCTAATAAGGACGCGTAACTTATAAACAAAATGAACCAACCAGCCGTGACACAGCCCCCGGGGCTTAAATCTGCAAGACGTCAGGGGCAAGTTGAACAATTATGCTATTTAATATTTTAGTCAAATGTGAGTTGTTATGACTTCATTTTAACTTCTAAGTAATAGCGATTCCACGGTTCAAACTTGCACCATTTTAGAGTTTCGTTTCAATTAGCTTAATTACCCTTCTACAAACCGATTTCTGACGTTACATACACCTTTTTACCATTCGATAAGCAGAGTCTTGAATTCGAATGTAATCAGGGATAACATGCTAAACTGGCAATGAGTGGCTCATTACTTCAGTCGAGATAAAGTTTTGGTAAACTACGTTAAAAACTCGTCTACACAAAGTATTCTGAGAATCTAACAGGTAGAAATACAATTTATCTTACCTAAACACCAAGCTATTTTATGTAACCCAGTACAGACGAGAAGCTTCACTCCACTTTTCGGTGGAGTAGCAGCGCAGCGTGGACGAGGTTGTTCCTGATTGGTTCGTATATTTTAGGGGTAATTACGGTAGCATCCAATCATAGAGATCGTTGTCACGAAAAAATCATGTCACGAAAACAACGCTGTTTACGTGCATGATGTAACTTACCATTGTAACCATTGATTAAAACCATGTTTTTAATATTGTTAGGCTTTCTAATGTTTTGCTATTTACTTTTATGTCAGTCTCTATGGTAGTGTAAGTAACTATTTGATTCGCGGCCCAAATAACTCCAGTACCTTTTACTTCCACTTGATCTTCGTCTTTTGTCATCATCGATGAAAACTTATAATGTACTGTAAAATTCATGATCAAAGATTCATTCTTATTGAAAGGTCACTGAAAGAAGTATATAGCATGCGTAAATACCACTGAAATCTGAAGTTTCGCAGCTGTTTTCGTTGTCTCCAGGGAGAAATTTATAAACATTAGCCAATCAAAAATACAAACCAGTCACAGCTTGACACTTGATATAACATCAAGCTTTTCGGCACCTGGTATTAAAAGAACTATGAAAAACGTTTTCAGGTAGTACTTACCGACATTTAGGTAGTAACTGTGTTTATCCTGTACTCTCTTATTTTCTACTATTCTTTCTATGATTACTATTCTTCCTCTCATTCAGTAAAGTTTAGCTGTGTATCATTTTCAAGGATAAATTGAATGCTTATAACAAGTTTGGTACATTGAGTAGAAAGGGAAATTGGATGAATGGATAGCCTGCGAATACAGCTGTCTATTGTCGCTCCTGGCCGCTCAGGACCGCGAAACGTTCCTAGCACGAAGCGAGGAAGGACGGCTGTATTTGCAGGCTACTGAATGGTATGGTTGCCCGAGAGGCCGGCTAAGGCTTTGTTGTTTTTCTTCTGATTCCACATATCTGGATGGGCGTGTGCAAAGACGTTCTTGACTTTGATTTTTTAAAGGAGTAAGGCGTAATTCATTTTACCCAGGATACGGTCAGACCTCTATCAAGCGAACATACGGTTAATTAGCGGTGGCAATCCAACAAGCAAACACTTTTTACATTAGTATTAACTTAATTTATTTAGTTTTATCGCTTTCCTAAGCCTCAGTACACGGGTATATGTTACAGAAGTTAAACAAAATAGCTATTCTGTCGAAAATTGTAAATAAGAAATAAGATTTAAAAAACACACTTCAACCCTTGGAATACACGCAAACTCATATATTTCGAATAAGATTTTACCTTCGGTGGAAGGCCTCTCGACAAGATGAGGTATATTTTATGGGCTGTGTCGCTTCTGGAGGCCTGTGACTCACCAAACACAGCTTTGATGGGCTCCTGCCAAACATGGTTGCCATCTTGGCCGCCATCTCGGATTTACCCACAATTAGAAAACAGGTTAAAAGGAGAGAATTGTTAATTTTTTTTCACACAATGTGGTGAGTAGACTGAATATTGCGCGCACTCTGATTGATCGTTGCCCATGATCTATCAGGAGTACAGATACATGGATGACGTCACAGGAAACTTGTTTTGCGCCTTGATTTGTTCAATATGGCGCACGGTATTTTCTTTTTCAGATTAAGCAAGTGGGAGCCTCAAAAAAAGTTTAAAAGGAGCTATTTACAAAGAAAGAAAAGAAAATGCAGTGACGAAAAGTAGCGTTAGTGCCTAAACTGGCAGCTGAACTGGGACAAATCCTCGAACAGGACCATTATCTCGCAGTATAAAACTTTGGAATACTGTCCACATTATGAGTAGTATAGGGCGCATAACGTAACCTACACCACTTGAGAAGCTATACTTAGAAGTAGAAAAAGTTCGGTACGAAACCTAATACGATCCTAATATACATATTGATATGAATCTCTCTACTCAAAAAGCCAATTTAGAATATTATTAAATTCTTGTACTCTGTCTGGGCTCCTGACTCTGTAAAACCTACGCAAAGACATGATGATATAATTATCTCTACTAGAAGCCTATTTAGAAAATTATTCAGTTTTTGTACTCTAGTTTTCTCTTATAAACCTACACGAGGCCATCGTAATGTGATTATCTCTACTAAAAGCCTATTTAAAATAATATCAAACTCTTATACTATTATTATTATTATTATTATTATCATTATTATTAATATTATTATCATTATTATCATTTTGTTTCGTTCTGTATTTTTTCTTGTATATATGCGTTCAAATTTAAAGATATTTGATGACTTGCAGAAACGATATGCTAAATGACATAACGTTAAATTATAGGTCTGTTATGAAAGGGATCTTTAGCCGCATAAGAAAACCAACTTTCTCAGAATAGTGTCTATTCTAAGAAGAAATTTAACTTATCATCAATATAAACAAGTCCCATGAGAAAGCCTTCTAAATTAAACATATATAGCGTTTCGGAGAGGTATATATAATTCAACTTTCTAGAGTTGGAGAGATTAAGATTCACGTTTACCGCATACGGCAAACGTCAGAGTCAACTTGAGAATTTCTTAGAATAGAATTAGAAATCTTATTTTTGTGTAGAAGCAATAAAGAGTAAACTGAAAATAAGGGAAAACTTGGTCACGTGGTACAAATTCACGTCTGCCGTTTGGCGTAAACGTGAATCTTGGTCTCTCTCTCTATATAGACCTTAAAAATTTTCTCTACACTGTATGCAAGTTTTTTTTATTAAATACGGGAACGAAATTAAATACAAACATTCCCCTAATTTGTCATACAGCTCTTTCTAGTCTGAATATGGCACACTGAGTACTCCATATAACTCGATACCAGCCAGGCACATAGCATGCGTGCCTGGTACACCGGTCGACATGTCTTTTATCTGGACTATCTTGAACTGACTATACGGTCCCACTTCCCCTTTCACAGACCACGTGTTTGTTTTGTAGGGAAGGGTCTTTTTGCCTGACAACATGTGTGAGAAGCGCTGCGACCTCCAGTCTACTTGATGATGCCTGCCCAGCAGACACCAATCATCGTCATTACAAAGCCTGCCAAGGAGTTCAAAGTTTTGTAGAAAGTTCCTGTCATTGCTTCCGAGCTTCCTCAAAGTGTAGTCAGTAGGTCTTAGGGTGTAGTAGTCTCCCAAATCCAAACACCATCCTGAGCGAGTGTAGCTGTTGACTGGAGTGAAATATTCCAATTTATTAAAAACTGAATCATTGGATAATGCAATTCTAGCATTTTGATTGGCTTAGCCGTTATGGTATATGAGCTAATATACCATGTTCTCCATATATGGTCGGTGTACGCGTCAGTTTAAAATTGGAAGCTAGCTGAGATTTTTTTTCGCGAAGGATAGAACGGCGCCCGAAGCAAATCGTTTTAATTCATTTCTAGAAGAATACTAGAAATGCAATTTCAACGAAAGAAAAAAGACAAAAACAAACAAAAAAGCCACAAGAGCTTGTTTGAAAGTTTGTCGAAAAACACATGAAAACTCATGGAACTAAAGTACCTTGACCAGCTACGAAAGAAGACAAGTGTTGTTTCTTCATGATCGCGAAGCCATTCGCCGATTGAGTCACTCGCCGATAGATAACTGCAGCTTGTTTATCCGACATCAAGAATATAAATCACAAGTAACCAGCTACAAATACAGGCTATGCTGCTATTCACTACAGCAATCGAGGCGGCAGTATAGCTTCTTTTCTCGTTCAGCAAAACCAGGTTGTGGCTTCAAACAACTTCATAACAAGCGACCGAGGTAATACCGGTAGTTTTTCTTCGTTGTTCTTACTTTTATAACTGCACCGAAAATCCAAATTCATAGTAATTTCGACGGCTGTCACTTAAAAATTCCTTTCCTTCACATTATCTGCCAGGTTTTTTAAGCTGTTCTGCTGTGTAAAATCCTAGAATCACGATGAGTTTTTAAAAAACTAATGTTCATCGCACAATGTTTTGATTTTTCATTCATGCAGTCTAGGCGAGCCCGGTTCGCGCGTTGACAGTTTTGATAGACGTGTGACATGTCAATAGCGGAAGTCCCTTGTCTTTTCCAGTTTGTTCGAGTCGGGGCTATTCAACGAAATTTTGTGGGCGTTTTTAATAAAACAATTATTCCACTCGGGCTTGTCGGATATGAAATGATTATAGCCAACTCGGCGCTATGCGCCTCGTTGGCTATCTATCATCTCATATCCAACGCGCCCTCGTGGAATAATTGTTAAATATTTTCAGGGTCTCCACGACCATCCTCACCGCAATACGTCACTTTCACTCCGGATGATGGTACTCGAGCCGGATTCGTCCACGTACAGTCGCCAGCATTGAAACCGAGGTAGTGAATCACTCCCTTAGTGTCGAAGTCTCGCTCACGGCTGAAATGGACTGAAATCAAACAAAAGAAAAACAAATGAAAACAAATTGAAGAGAAAACAAGGAAACGCCCTGTCACGGTGGTCCTCTTGGAATAAATGAAACTAATGAGATCTAGAATGGATAGTTAAGCGGAGGATGGCGATTTTTCGCCATTTTCGCCATTGCATGCATTTCTGGACATAAGTGTAAGCGGGACCCACGTCGCAGCCACGGTAAATGCCCCGATGTGTGCTTAGTACAGAATGTCTAGTGCAAACAAACCTGGCATGAAAATCTGGAAAACCCGTTTATGGCATGAGCTTTTTTTTAATTAAAGTGAAAGCTAGTCAATTTTATATATGTTATACATGGATTACGGACATTGCATGTGTAAGTAACGAAGGTAAAGGAGCACAAAATTCAGTCAGGCCAACTTGCAGCCCCAAATTAAATTCCGTTTTACTGTAGAAAGGCAGAAAGTGGCAACAGTTTGACTGTACTTACATTCTTTAGTTTGTGAAAATTCGTTTCTTAGTCGTGTCGAAGCTCTACTTTTTTGACACCTTGAGGTCCGTTTACTCTCTACTCGTCGCGACTGTCTTCCCGATGTGTCATCGAATGCCTCTTCAAAATCATCCTTAGAACTTTCCAGACTGGATAGTGACCCTACGTAAAGAAAGTATAAAACGCTCCAGTGTTAGTAGCTTTATAGTCCATCTAAATGTTTGGAAATTA